CCTCACAACTTTTAGTTAGATGAAGACTCATATTGGCGAACTAATTTGGTTTCGACCTGGCTCTCTCATTTATGGTGGTTAAAGAAACTTCAGCGACCTAATGAGTAGTGTGTTACATTTAGACATATCAAACGTCGTGCTCAACATCCAGATGAAACTGGATATCATATACAGGAGGTTTGGCAGGATTCAGTTGAGTTCATTCTCCTGTCCTGTGCGAGAATTTGTCAAAATCTGTCCAAGTTGGGTTCAAGTGGAACACGAGGTCGAGAAAAACGCGGAAACTCCGCCAAACAGATAAGCCTTAAAATGAACATTTTGAGGGGCTGAGCGTCTGTAGATGCCGACCTTATGTTCTGCTGTTTTGTGCAACACCAGGTACTCTCTTCTTTTCTGTTCGCATTTTTTGTTCATGAGCACCTTTTTGCCGTAACTTATCGATCAACTTTAACTGATCGATCTATGAGGGTATTTAAACACGGATAGGCCCATTGGCCGCTCTCCGAAACCGCTTCTTCGTGTTTCCGCCTGTTTCTTGTCTCGATTCCTTCATACCGTTTGATTGCCGTCTTTATATTCCGTCATCAGGTGAATAACGCTACTTGCAGAACAGTGCGGGGCACGGGGCCTTTTGAGATACGAAAGTAGTATAGCGATCAAGAAATGTACACCCTCTGTTTGAACCATGGTATTGACCATGCAGTTTTCAGTGTTGATGAAATGCGCAGACAATATAACACAGTAGCTGGAGAGAACTTGTCAGAATAATCTCATTTACCTGCGTTGTCACACCACTCATCCCACTTTCCGTCGCATGTTTACTGCAACTTTTAACCTGTCCCGTGTCTCCTACTGCGCGGTCAAGCTCACTTGGCAGCAACCAAGATTGAATCCAAGCTTGATGTTCAAACATCTTGAAGCACCAGTTTTTAACGTGGGGAAATGCTACGCTGAGCGGTATTCAAGCTTTTGATTTTTGAAAAACTGGTCCCGTTTCAGAGTGAGAATGCCAAAATTAATCACAACCCGACGTGTTATTCTGTCGTCCCCTTGAGGATGGGGGAAGGATGATGTGGTTGCCCACGTATAGGCCTACGCATCTACGCAAGATTCTCAATATGGACTTAATCTTCTCAAGCCCAGAAGCAGTTCAGATTTTTGGTCGTAACTCTTAGAATGGAAGAAAGTATTACAGGGCAATAAAACCCAAATTCTGACTTGTCCACACTCTGAATCTTGAAAATGGCCACATGAACAGTTTCGACGAGTATCTGTCTGCTTTCGCATCGTATGTGATAAGTTGTTCCCAGCACTCTCCTCACATCAGCTTACTTTGCATCACTGCGAGATTCACATGTCCCCGAGTAGCTTGTATTCGACCTTTCTGCATGCTCCAAGTCGCACACTCTGCAAGCCTCCCAGGAATCAGGTTCTATGTGCTGAATATGATTGGACGCTTAATACGGGAGCATCACTGAAAAATGGGCACCAAAACAGAAGCCACATTATCTCTTCCTTTGGATTTTGGTTTTCCAATGGGGTGGCGACAGCATCTGATCGCCGTTACTATGCGGAATTCGGATTCCATCCAGTCTCTGATCAGACGATCCACGTAACAAAGGTCAAACATACGAGAGGTGTAATAAACGACTTATTTTGTAACTTAGCATGCACATCAGAAACAGTTCCGCCGGACCCGTAAATTTTGCCAGCCTTGTTTACCTTCAGAGCTATCGTATACTACTTGGTTCGAAATAAGTAGTTAAGTCGCGATCAGCCGAAGAAGAGATTCAGTCGTATTTGTTTATTGCGCAAAAAAATTGAACCGTCCAACCCACAATGGATCAAAAAGCTAATAAAACGAAAGGAATCGTTTTGGACAAATGAACTAAAAAAGGCTGATTTACACGCTTTAAAAACGAAAAAAGCTTTCAAATTTTGTAATTGCTTTTTTAAGGATTGTTTACCTGGTGTGCACCTGTTGGTATTTCCCACGCCCTTACCTAGTGCAAACAGCTGATGACAGACAGACGAACAATGCTGGTTAGTGAATGGCTGAGTGGTTCCCAACAAGAATCGAATTTAGTCTGGGCAGCTTTCTCTCAAAAGTTGTAAACTTTCGCATAGTAATAGTTTGACAATTAGAATTTTGAGTACGGAAATTCAAAAAGTAACACTTGATAGGAAAGAAGTCGTATTCTCTGGTAGCGCACTTTCCTCTTACTGTTGTTGGATCACTTAAAAGCTAGGAAAAACTAGCCGAGATCAAAATATAGTCAGTCCATAATCCATAGCAAACGTAAAAAAACGGTACAACCAAGTATGATGTATCGTTGATAACCGATCGATGTGATGTAAAGTGGATAGATGTCACCTGATTTTGCGCGAATAGCTTCCAATGTACCATCTTCCCACAGCGTCACAGTAAATGGTTGACGAAGAGTGATCAGAATCGAGAGTTCTCTACGATACGATCTTGCGGAGATCTTCACGGTTGCAAGCGAGTTAACTCAACAGTGATGAGTCATTGGTGTCTGAATAAACAGACTACACAATGCCTTCGAACTTTAGAAGGAATCGTGAATCAATACGTTACAATGATTTTTACACACGGAATGTTGGGAACAATGTATTTGATGGGAATTGCGACTCTGAAGGCCTGCGTAGGTCCGTGTTAAAAAGTTTGGAATATTGTTGGAAAAACAGGCGGAGATTAAAAATCATCCTTAGACTCGTAGAATTGCATGACAAACAGAACACAATGGACGAAAACAATGATCAGAAGGTTTATCGATTTACACGGGACTAGTCATAGATTTTTAAACCTTTACTACACCTACCATAAATACTGATTTGTTCCGACTTAGTCTTACTTTATGGTTTTGACCCCTCCGATCCGAAGACCTTAGGTGTCATTCAACCTCTCATCACCGGTATCTTCATAGTCTATCGAGGGCTAGCTGGCTTCGAAGAGTACGCGGCAGCGTTGCTCGTAGCGAGACCTAGTGATGAGTTGAGGTGTTTGGAGCATGTGTTAATTATACCCACCCAACTGCTACTCAAGAAACCGTTTTCTGTTTCAAGCAAGAGGTTCGCGGCAGCCGAGTTGTTGAATCCAACTTGGTCTTATGGTAATTCCCCCATTCATTTGCTTACTCCGCCTATGTACCTTTGATCTCCAGTTGTTTTGCTTATTCGTACCCGTCACTGACCTTGCCGCAGAGGCCGTCATTTCCGACGCTTGTGTATTGACCTGTGTGCCTGTGTGTGAATGTGCGCTGCTGATCTACTTACCCATGCGCGTTCAGTCCCGTTTGCTGAGCCTGCCTTGACTTGTTCCCTCATGCGTTCCGTGTGATCGCACGTCCAATGAGAATCACGAGACCGTCGTCGGGAGGGACGACCGCAACCCATGCTACTGAGTCATCATTCCGCTCGCCGTTGTTTGGTGCGCGGACGTTGACACTGCACTGTACCGGTTAGTGACAGACCTGTGAACTTGTTGACGCTACGAACGTGAGCATCTGAGGTTTGTTGTGTAAATAGTACCGTAGAATTTTGAACCCAATTCTTCCTTTTGATATTCGGGATTGTCGAACCTGCGCGTCACTCAAAGTTTCGTATCGGGAACCTCAACACGAGTGAAATAAAGGACGTTAGACTCAGAGATCTTCGCCTTTTCATGATTGTGAGGCATATGATTATATTTCCAAGTTGCTCAAAACCTTGCAGTGCATGGGGCGCAGCCGACTCCGGTTGCACGCAATTATCAGTTTCTAGCCGGACTCCTTAGACAAAGTTTGTCAGCTGTTGTGCGTCGAGCTTAAGGCGGGTGAGAGTTGCTCTCAGATGCTGCTACAGACGAGAAGCCTAACTGCACTCGATTGGCCAGATCAGGCCACCTACCGGTCAACCATCAAGGTGAGTTCTGAGTGACCGAAAGTGTGGACCCAACAGTTACACATGATTTAGTTTCTACCTTATATGGCGGTTGACTCGTTCGCGCGCAAGGGGTGTCGGAATTTCCAGAATGTAATCGCATCGTCCACTTTAACTACGACGCGCCGTGCACGTGTTTCTGACCTGATTTTGAGCGGTCAAAACACGTTTTGCACACTGGCTTGGGAAAACTGAGCTGAGGCGTTGCCGTTATTAAACGCAGTATGATGTTTGGTGACTAGATTTTCAAACAATGGGATTTTACCTTTTATTCTATGCCTTCCATCTAGCCCAGTAGGGTACCGATCTCGGGCTATCGCAGACAGATATCTCGGGGCGTGCACACTTTATCCAGGATTATACCAGATTAGTTAAGCCATTTATGGCCATTTGAGACTTTTTGTCCCCAAGCCATCGAAAGATTGTGAACCGGTTAATAATATTAATAAAAAATAATAGATTAGTTGCGCTGCATGAAGACACTACTTCATGGCCTTTGAAAGTCGCCCGGTGATATTTTCATAGAAAACATCGACCAGTGTTTTCTTGTCTTTTTCACTCTGGTTATCACGTAACTGAATAGGTCTGAGGATAATTTTCGCTCTATCTACCGTCAGGACGATTAAATTCTTTTCTTTCATTACAAACAGCGGGGGATAATGACAGGATAATTGCCGCAAAAAAGTCTGTCCCTCCACTTTTAGTTCCTCTGGGTACTACGCAACAAGAAAACAGACATTCAGTTAAACTCCAATAGCTGATATTACTTGAAAGCACCCATGGAAACAATATTCACTTATTTACCTTGTTTATTAAGATGATATTTCCATCCAATCGCTATTTTGTCTTCATCGTGACAGATTCATATCTTGCCATTTGGCAGAGGAAACTGAACGTTTAACTAGGTAGTTTATACAGTGAGTAAGCTAAGTCATGATATTCATTCAGTTTGTCAGCAAATGAGCGGTAGCTGATGCTTTAGGACCCGTATGTTCATGCGTTTCATTTGTTATTTTTTGGCTCATGATGGATGAAAAATCAATAACGGATCAATAACTCACCTTATTTTCGTTGAACTGTACTAGCCAGGCGGTCTTTTGTGGATTCGGACGTATGGAGATGACCGGCTACAGGAGCAGGGGGTGGAGTAAATAGGTATAAACATACAGGATGTAACGAATTCCAAAACTGAGTACTCCGCGACAAAAACTAGCGGTCTATGCGTTCGCTTCAAGAGTATTGACGTTCACGAGACTTGCTGATATACTTTCACGCGCGTAATCTTACGATGTGTACCATGATGTCTCTGCATGACGGATGTCTCGAATGTCGCAACAACACACTTTTTTGATACTTGGACCTCCACGCAACCAAATGTGTTTCTTGTTCGGGAGCCTAATTTCGAAACCCTTCTTTAGTTTTCTAACTACTTATTCCAAATGAAGTAGCACGTGACGGTCCAGTCTGTGTCTTTGTACAAACTGACCCGGAAGGTGTAACATCAAAATAACCCTAATAAAACTGAGTTCAAGGTGAAAAAACACCGACGCGGTGAACTTGTCAGAAGAACGAAATAGGATTTGTATTTGGCTACTACGTGGAAGCTAGTGGATCACCAATCTATCATCGATTTTTCTCTGGCTTTCTGTAAGTTTTATCGGATCCTGACTTACCTGTTCAGATTTGCGTTTTGGGAGGGTAAATGAACCCGATCATCAGTAAAGTTTTCTGTCACCTGGATAGGTTCTTTGAGGCGCTGCGCGAAACTGTGAGACTAGAGATTAGAGGCGCTCTGTTGGCGGGATTGCATTTGGCGTTTTGTAAAAGGGGAAAATTACTCTTTTGACGGGTTCCATCGAAACATATTTCAGAGGGTAGTTAATAGCTGTTTTAAATCCTCTATACTCTGAGTGTTGACAATTGGAACAACACTGTTCTCATGATTTGTATTGATTTCAGTCCCCTGTCATTCTTTGTCTACCTAAATCAAGGAGGTATTCCCGGCCTATCACTTGTTCACTGGACAATCTAAAGTGTAAAAGGTCAAAGCTACGGTGACCAGATACACTCTGGGACATTCGTGATATTGTCAGACAACTGGGAGCTGGCATTGGAAAGTACCTATTTTAATCACATTCACAGAATTGACTACTTATAAGGTTGCTGAAAACCATTTGAGAGTACAGATAGTCTGCACAACACGGTTTTTAAGAGTTGATCGCTTCATCTTCCTGGAATCGATGATTTGTGTTTCCACGGGCCTCCAGCTCCGATGCAAGCTGCTTAGGATGAGAGTTAGAAGCACGCGGCTTGTCCGTGGTGAACAGACGATCTTCTCCTGTGGGAACTGGCCAACTGCATAGTTTGGTGAACTAGCGAAATCAGGTTGCGCGGGAACTCGAAAAATGTCTCAGCCATCTGGAATACGCCGTCTTCGAGGAGTTGAGTACACTCAAGCTGAAGCTTTTCACCAAGCCTAACATAATCGGGTGCACTGAGCGACTGTGATAGACAAAAGCATAGTCTTGGATGGGCTCGGAGTGACAGTGTGGAACGAAGTACGATCCTTATGGCTGTTCTATCGCCATCGTCCCAACCTTACGAGCAGTGGCTTGTGACGTTTACATTTTTGGTTCACCAACCAGTGACCATTCCATATCGAGGATATCGCTCCTCCACTGTGCCAGGATTGTGGCTGGCAATCTTCTTGTCTGATCTGAACTATTGAGGGCGGAATGGAATGTTTCCATATTTGCATTTCTAATGTTTTCACTTCATATCTATAACTTACAATTTTTTGATATTTGTAATCATGCCCTCCAAAGGTAAGCGGTAGTGAACATGACTCACTGCTGGGTCCCAAACTTACTCGCCGTGACCGCACACCGTGTATCAAAAGTGGATAGGATCATGAATAGTCAATGATCAAGCAGGTAACACTCCAAGATAAGCGCCAGTTTGTTCGAATTTCAAATGGATCGGATCAGTCATCGCTGTCTCTAAATTCACGCTGTGAATTTCCGAAATCTATTCGTCAAGAAGCAAACCCTTCACTGTGGCCGGCAATTGTTTTCTCTTCGATACGGAAACGGTGAACTGGGAATAAAGTTAGTCGTAACGAAGCGTTCATGCCTCAGTGAAATAGTAACGAAAGGCTCTTGGTAGAAAAAGCAGATGTGTTTTTTCCCTATGATAAACACATACTACATACAGAACCCACGCTTTCTGTTTTCGAAATGGAACTCGATTATCATCCGAAAGTTGCTCATTACTGAAGCCCGGTAAATCATCATTCTGTGTCTGTGATTGTTCTCATTCATTGATCGATTGATTTCGTCGACTAATTTCCCCGGGGAATAAAATTCATTTGGTTACTAGGGGCTGGATGCTCCTTCCAGTTCGTATTATATACAGATTTGTTCTGTCGCACTGAAGGCACTCAGCGAACCAACCAAATGCGAGGGAATAATATCACAACCCAACTCATCCCAAGCTGACCAATCAAATTACGTGAAAAGCATCTTGGAACCAACCAATCATTTTGGAGTTATTAGATATTGTTTTGGGGTTATACATGCGCAAACATAAGAGATGGAATTTACCCACTCTACCCGGCATTGGAGATTTTAACTCGATTAGGGCTGAAACGTTTGCAGCCCGACTGCGAACCTCGGAGAATAGACCAACAACCAACCGGTCTCGTTCTCAAGGAATCCACTTTAGAGAAAGATCAAGAATGAACTGTTCTCAAAGATAATAGCAGTTGAATGGATCCCCGAGGGTGTAAGCAAAGAGATAGCGCCTTATCTAGTGAGATCGACGTAGCTCGAAATTACTGATCGGAAGTTCTGTGGTTTGAACCCAACTTCTGCCGCTTAGGCTAAGCTGAATTATCTCACTCAGCCTTCATGCTGATCCTTCGGGTGGTTAAGGAGCCTGGAACAGCAGTAAAGGTGTCATTCAGCGTGGATTGGTGTGAGTCTAACTGTGTGGTTGCAGCATAGTGGCTTTGTGTACTGTCTAACTGCAAATTTAGCCCCCCCCCGCTGTTAGGCCATTCGTGGCTCAGCGAAGTAGCTTTCAGCTTCTAATCGAGTTTGAATCGTTCTAGAGATTCATTACGCACGCACAGTTGACATTTCCCAGCAAGGATGAAAGAGTTGTGTGTGCTTATTAGCTTTTCAATGAAGGCTAACTTCATTATCCGGTCGAAGCCTAAAAATCTCTCCAATCCGCACAAACACGGAACTCGTCTTGCGTCCTAGGGTAACCCAGTGACTCCAGGTATGTTTAGCAGCGTGAAATCTCATTCGATTGTTTAAATAATCAGAATAACCACCCAGACAGATATCCTGTCCTATTCAGGTAAACTTGCACCGATATATACAGCTTTAGATGTAAACAGCTTCTACTAACGCTAGTACGAATCAATTTAAAAGGCACCGCACAGCGCTTTAACTATCCTGACTTATTCTTGTGATCCAAACTGATGTATGCCTCCTTATTTGTTTTGCACGGGTATAAAGTAGGGCAAGAGCAGAGTATTTTTTCATAGGCATATCGTGATGTTTACCACTTCGCCCTAAATTTCCGCACGTTTGAAAAATGTGTAAAGGCCAAATCCAGGTGCTTGTAACGGCTTGAAGTTTAGGGATACTTCAGAGGTGCTTTTTAATCCTATCGCATCACTCGTCTCCATCTGAAGCGAATTTGACTCTAGGCGAACCGGAAAGAGGCCGTTCGATGAACCAATCGAATGCCTGGAATGCATGGAACACAGTTTGGTACAAATCGTAAGCAGGCTACTGATTTTACAAATAGGCTAGCGTTCAATCCGAATCAAGGGATATCAAATGTTGGGGGTGGGAAGCACGTACGGAACAGCGCACTGATGGAGTCCTCACACTTTGTGACGAAAACTTTGCAAACGGTCTCTCAAGCTCCTCACACGAACCAACATTCACCTAGCCTAAAACAAAAAAGACCCCTTTGACTGGTGCTAAAAAATTGGGCTGCCTACTTCAAGGGATGGCGTAACAGCCAGTGCAGCCACACTGCTATACAGGTTGCAATACAATTTAAACATATAAATCATCATACGATAGCAACCAATAGACTCATCCACGATGAAAGACTGTCGGTCGATATCATCCGGTTTCAGCCCTGTCATAAAACAGGTTTGCGGCTTTCCTAAAACAATGAACCTTTCTTTCAGAGGTTTGAGGATGACAAGACTGGTTTTTTGCAGGGTTGATCTACGGGTCGCATCATCTACAAGAAGATGGCTATGCTGACTAACAAAAAATCAGTGTTTGTTCGTTATTAAATGTTGCTCCCGATAGTAAATTTATGGGAGCACCTATGTCGTTCACTGTTACCCCAGTCCCAGTTACTGAGATTCGGCCGGAAAAAGAAGAAACACGTGGAAAATCAAATTAAAACCCACAGTTACTAGGTAAACATCGAAAATATGAAAAAATTGGCACAACATCATAATTAGAAGAGTGCGTCGCCACGTCATTCCCAGTTATTTCATCCTAAAATCTTCATATTAACCTTGGTGCACGTCCTTTTACCTGATTCTTTTTCATTTCCGCTCCAGAGTTGCCACATAGTCCGTTTTGGTGATACTAATTCTTGCACCTTCCGGTAAACTACAGCGGATCTCAACCGAGTAGAGGTTAGGACTAGATGTGGGTCAACTCGACGCTTTCGTACTAAGAAAACCGTCCTCGGCTCTTAACTATTTCATCGACCAAAAGCATATCATAAAGTGAAATTGACCACCAAGCAACGCAAAGCTGCTCATTTTTAGGCTAAAATCATCCCTATGCAAAAGTTCTGTTATCGCAATCGATTTATTCCAATCAGCTATCATTTTGTTCCTTTTTTAAACATTCTTTCAAGTGCAACGGAAGTGGTGAAAATATGGGTTGACAGGAACTATAAGTGGTCTTGCACTGTTTTTGTGCGGGTTTACTTACTCGTATTCGGACACTGTGATTAACGCTCATTTATCGCATTGACCTTTGCTCAACGATCTGGCTCACTGACCCATTTCACGTTAAAAAAGTGGGGCTTCATTGGTTTACAATATGTGGACCATTTAAAGATAATTTTATTGGGACGATACGATTTGCCTCTTGTAAATTCACTGGGAAGAAAAATATATTTAATTTCATGGTGTATTGACGGATACTACTTATGAGGCGCGTGAGTAGTATGTGGTTATCTCGTCTAATGGAAAGTGCACCTCCCATGAGGTTTATTACGGAACCTGCGGAAATGCTTTGCAGCATTTGCTTACAATCGCCTGACAGTCAATAAAATATCCACCAAAGTTGAAAAAGACGTGTATGGATGCTCAGTTTTTACAAATAAGGTGCATGTGAAATGTTTACTTTCCCATCCATTAGTTGGTAACCATTTAGTCGGTGAAGGTCTCTTCTCCTTTCAGTTGTCCCGTAGCTTTTATTGAATGAGAACTTACTGTCAAACCAGAAAGATCCATTTCAGCCGTTTTGGTTGCCTCAGCGGCGTCATCAAATGTGAGTAGTTCACGCCCACCGACGTCAACAATCTTCCAAGTGGAATCCGGATGTGAGTAGATAAATTGGTCTGAATGATGGAAAGCACGAAAGTATATTGGATAGTCGCAGTAATGATGAGGAACCAATCAATCACTCGGTAGACAATGAATAGAATTTCCCTGTTCATTTTACATTAGAATCTCTATTCTGTATTGCTCAGGAAGAGGAATGATCAAAACTCAACTGTATCAGTTGAGTACGATAAGAATTATTTGTAGAGCCCTTTATTAGAGGGAGAGTGAAGTATTGAGAAGGAGAGGACCCGTGAGTGATTTTAAAGAGATAATTCTGAGTAGCCTTTTGGTCAGTAACCTTCACTGAGGTATTCTGAATAGAAATTGAAATCAAAAAGTTATTTACACCACTCCACAGTTTTATTTTGGACCGTTAACTACGTTTTTCTACTGGCTTTTTCAAACCTCTTTTGAAATTGGATATAATTACACACCTTTTTATGCATTACGTGTTATCACGCATAATTCGCGATTCATGACAAAGTGATGAGTATCATAAGCGAGAGTTTCAGTTCAGTCTCCCGTCAAAACCAAATTGATCTGCAAAGAGTGTATTTGTCGCAATCTGTCCAATTGGGGTTGCAGTAGAACATAAGGTTGACGGTGGAAACTCGGGGACTGTGTCTACTTGATGAGCCTCAAGAAGGGCGAAACCAGGAGTGGGTTGGTGCTACATTCCGCCGGCGAAAACTGATTCCATTGGTTCTCAGACGAAGGTCTGCGTTCGGAATGCATTCAGGAGTCAGAAACAGTTGGTTTGGATGCACGAGTCACGTTTAACCAACTGGCCGGAGGTGAATCCCTCAACCGGAACCCGCACTTAGATAACTTGAGATGATACACTACTCAAACAACTACTGAAAACGTTTCGACAGTAAACTGTTAATTTCCATCCTTTCATGGACTCACCAGGTGGGCGTAGTCCTCGACCTCATGTCCTAGTTCAACTTCAGTGATGTCAAGAAACGTGAATAGTTCAGACCGCCATAGCTGCATCTGATTCAAGAACGGTTTCAGAATTACCGATTATTTTACAGTCCTTATTCAAATTTAGAAAAAAAATGTCCATGAAGCTTGACAATAATGGCGTTTTCAAATTCGGTGAAGATGTGTCTTTTGCTTGCGTGTCTGATAGCTGGTAACCGTTTAGTTCGCGTTTGGACAACTCTTCATTCGAAGGCGCCTTCCATTCATAGGTAGTATTCTCCTATTTGAATATACAAACTGCAGACCCTGGGCGAGGGGTTCCATTTCTACCAGTTGATGCAGTTGACGGATGATTCAACTCAGAACCGAATGAGTCTCTCATTTGTACTTCCTCCTAACTTGATGTGGAAAGCAGAGACCCCTCCCCACGATTCAGTGGGATCAGTTTCCAAGACAAACCATACTGAAGTGGACGCCAAAACGCGATTGTAGTGGAAGTTCATGTGCGGTAAACCTTTATCTGGCCACTTTGGTGAACTGCCTTGTCGAATCAGATCGTATCCATTGTGCTCAAGTAGATTATTGGTCAGTCTGGCATAAAATGACAACTAATAGGAGGGGTTGCTGTTGAGGGGGAACCAGAATAACAGACGGCTGAAAATTCCGTGTTTCTAACTATGGTTATTACTCAACCTGGGGAATTTCGAGAGATTGTTAGAGGTCGCATATTGACTCGTGACGCATCGATCCCTTCCTACCCTACAGGCGGCGCGACAAGTAAACACGGGGTATGAATGATCGAGTACATTCCATGTCGGACCGTCATACGAAGGCCACTGTTTCATGGCGTGGTAAGGTGACAGTTGGTATCTGGTGGAGCTGTCCCGACAGGCAAGTCGCACCAGGATTGATCCATTTCTGCGTGCGTGTCAGTGGTTTGAAGCCTGGCTGCGTTCTTTTGCAAATGTTTTAACGAGGAAGGCAGAAATAGGTACCGTATATTTCTAAAACTTTCTAGGGTGCCTGGCTGCCTAAAGGGGAGGTACTATCTAAAAGAAACTTCAGCAACGGATCAGGTGATACTGACTGTTATTCCTAAGTAACAGGGGAGCTACTGTATGTTCGATCCACTGAGAATTTCATCTGTACAACCAGATTAACCAAGCAGTAACAGCTATTCTGTTACCATGTTCATATCTGATGAAAGTGTGATAAACAGTGGAACAGTTTGAGTGACCTTCACACCACTATCGATTTCAGGTCGACATAATTTATAGCATTTCCGTGTATGCAGTGCGGCCTGAAACCTATTGGTCACACCTTTAATGGAATGAATGATCACGTAAACATTTGACTCCGTGTTCTGTTCAGCAAATAACAAGAATGAAGATTACATAAATGAATAAATGTCAGGGAAATAAACAGTTTGATTAAATTAACCATTCCCGCTTTTCTGTTTGCTTACTTTCATGCCAGAAATAATTCAGATCGCGTGCCCTATCACCAAGCCACATCAGTTCTTCGATAGTGAATCGTTCGTAGCTTATGCGTTCTTCGCCTGTCGAACAAAAACGAATGCAAACAGAAAGGCGGTTCGGATTAGAGCGATCAAAACTGTTGAGCATTCGTAGAGAATTTTGTCGGGTAATCCTGTTTTAAATATTTGTTGGTTTGTGTGTACCTTCTTTGTTCCAATAGTTTCAGTTCACTTACAGGATAAAAAATCTCATTTGAAAATTGCTAAATTTCCCCCAATCAACGGACATTTCGTAAGCAGCTTGAGAGAAGAATAAAATTCACATGATGGATGGCACTCGAGGAGCCAATCAATACATGGTCACGTGATGTGGTTTCTGTTATTGTCTAAGTGAGAACTAATCATACTGCTACTCAGCCGCTCATGGCCGAACGGTCGAGTGTTCGAACTACAGACCGAAGTTTCATGAGATACACATTGCTGATTTTTTCCAAACAAATATGAAGCAGGTGTGCGGTCCTTCCTGGTATTGATTGGAACCACTTCCAGGACGAAATTTCTGTTGAACTTACATGTATTGTTCACTTAGCCTGCTCACGTAAAAAGTTTCCCCGTAATCTTAAGTAAGCCACAATCACCGAAGGTATGGATAACTGTTCTGTTTTGCTATATCATTGTAGTATTAGATCTGAGGGGGCATCAGAGCTGCAATAAAGGCGTTTGACTGAGAGGAAACTGAACGGAAAGCAGTTAGTTCCTGGATTCCACAGTATAGAAAAGTATCCAGGTTCTGTTTCCCCTTTTTTCGGACAAATCAACCACCAACTGATAGAACCGAAAGAATCTCCAAAGTATCGGTTTCCGCTATGAAAGTTAGTAGGGGTAAGCACATTGCTCAGCTGTTTGAAAGTCTTGCTTTAAAAGCAACACAGTTTGTGAGCATTTCATTGATTACCTTCAGTTTTGCACTCAAGTAAAACAAACGTTTGGTGGTAATTGGGTACTATGTCTACCCGTGAATCCCAAGAATAGTGAAGCCCTTGATGGGCTGATTGTTTTCAGTAAAACTGAAAAAGGCGGTTGTTGTTTATCGGGCTGCAAACAACCTTGGTGGACTTCTTTCTAAACTTTGTTGCCGTTTTAAAATTCGCTTGACTGAAGTTCATTTACTTCCTGGTAGGTTCTTTCGTAGTTCGTATCAGTCGTTCGGTTGTCTGCATTGATGAACGCTGCTGAAAGTGTTGCTGCACAGAGGTCAGAAACTGCGAACGAAATACCTCGTCTGACTAAGCCCTCCCAAGTTCATATGCTGAATCCCAATGAGGCCGAAGGATTTTGGCGAAATCCACTCAGTTGCAAACTAATTTGGTTTTGCGAGAGATCCATCTGAAACCCAGCTGAATCACTCGTTTGTGATGTTTCCAGGCAACTGAATGTCCTGCACCAGGCTGCCTCATGTTTCAGTCGCTGCGATATTCGAGATATCACGATATATGTATATTT